TGGAACTGATGATTACACAACAAACAACTCAGTTTAAACTGTGTGAAAAGGATTCTATAACAACAATGTATCCTGCTTGAGGACAGCTCCTCCTTCCTGAAAACCCTCTGGCTAATCGTGTTATCTTAAAATGTAAATTATAGGAGTGGGTTTGGTAAGATCTTTACAGCCTCCAGACATTCTTTGATTCATTGTAATAACTAATTAAAAGGTATATAACTCCATTGCTAACACTAGCGAGGGGGCACTCTTTCTGCCCCTGTCTGATGTCTATGTCAGAAGCTTTCTGTATCTCTTTTATAATTTAATAAAAGTTTATTACACCAAAACTCTGAGCAATCAAGCTTCGTCTCTGGCCCTGGATTGATTTCTTCTCCTCCAGAGGCCAAGAATCCCAGCCTCTTTCATGGTTCAACATCCTTTCAGTTGCGTGGCATCACTGACTCAATGGACATGAGTTTGTGTAAACTCCGGGAGTTGGTGGTGGACAGGGAGGCCTGGAGTGCTGCAATCCAGGGGGTCACAAAGCGTTAGATGTGACTGAGTGCCTAAAATGAACTGGAGATCTGGAACAAGACAAGCGTGCCCTCTTTCGTCACTGTTATTCAACATAGTTCTGAAAGTCCTAGCTACAGCAATCAGAGAAGAAAAAGAACAAAAGGAATCTAGATGGTAAAAGAAGAAGTAAAGTTCTCACTGTTTTCAGATGGCATGATGCTGTCCATAGGAAACCCTAAAGATGGTATCAGAAAATTACAACAGCAAACTAGTGAATTTATCAAAACTGTAGGATACAAAAGGAATATACAGAAATCACTTCCATTTCTATATACTAACAATGAAAACTCAGAGGAATTAAGGAATCAATCCCATTCACCATTGCAACAAATAGAATTAAATATCTAGGAATCAACTTACCTACGGAGACAAAAGAACTGTCCACAGAAAATAATAAGACACTGACAAAGAAATCAAAGACGACATAAACAGATGTAGAGATATTCCATGTTCCTGGGTGGGAAGAATCAATATTGTGAAAATGACTATACTAGCAAATGCAATCTACAGATTCTGTTAGGGGAAGAACACTGACTGAAACCGCCCACCCTGGCCAAGCACCATAGTAACCATTTGCATGAGTTGTTTTATGATAGGAGATTCTGATAAGGAATACAAAACTAATAAGCCACCACCAGCCAGAAGAGTTCGGGAAAGGTCGAGAAGAGACCCTGCCTGTCCGTCCACTTCCCAGAATCCCTCACACTAGTATCAATCTTGGCTGAGCGATGCTTGTGCCACCAGGAAAGACTGAATTAGAATGATTGGCCAAAGCCACCCAGAAACTAATCCCATCACCATAAAACCCAAGACTGCGAGCCACGCGGCAGAGCAGTTCTCCTGGGTTCCCTTACCTACTGCTCTCCACCCGGGTGCCCTTTCCCAATAAAGTCTCTTGCTCTGTCAGCACGTGTCTCCTCGGACAAATCATTTCCGAGTGTTAGACAAAAGCCCAGTTTCGGGCCCTGGAAGGGGTCCCCCTTCCTGCAACAATTCAATGTGGTCCCTATCAAACTCCCAAGGGCATTTTTCACTGAACTAAAACAAAATATTTCCCAATTCATGTGGAAACACAAAAGACCCTGAATAGCCAAAGCAGTCTTGAAAATGAAGAATGGAGTTGAAGGAATCAACCTTCCTGACTTCAGATTATACTACAAAGGTACAGTCATCAAGACAGCATGGTACTGGCACAGAAACAGAAATTTAGAACAATGGAAGAAGATAGAAAGCCCAAAAGTAAACCCATGCAGCTAGGAGTACCGTATTTTTGACAAGTGAGGCAAGAATATCCAAAGGAACAATGAGAGCTTCTTCAATAAATGGTGCTGGGAAAACTGGACAGCTTCATGTAAAAGAAAAAAAGTTAGAAACACTTCCAAATACCATACACAAAGATAAACTCAAAATGGGTTAAAAACCTAAATGTAAGACCAGAAACTATAAAACTCTTAGAGGAAAACACAGGCAGAACACTCGATGGCAAAAATCAAAGCATGATGCTCTGTGACCCATTTCCTGGAGTGATGGAAATAAAAACAAAAGTAAGCATGTCGGACTTGATTAACTTAAAAGCCTTTGCACAGCAGAGGGAACTGTAAGCGAGGTGGAAAGGCAGCCCTCAGAATGGAGAAAATGACAGCAGACGCAACAACCGACAAAGCAGGGATCTCCAAAATATACAGGCAGCACACACAACTCAATGCCAGAAAAACACAACCCAATCAAAAAGTCGGAAAAAGACCTAAACAGACATTTGTCCAAAGAAGACATACAGGTGGCTAACAAACACATGAAAAGATGCTCAATGTCACTCATTATTAGAGAAATGCAAATCAAAACCACAATGAGATATCACCTCACACCATCAGAATGGCCATCATCAAAAAGTCTACAAACAATAAATTCTGGAGAGGGCATGGAGAAAAAGGAATGCTCTTGCACTGTTGGTGGGAATGTAAAGTGATACAGCGACTATGCAAGACAGTGTGCTACTGATGCTGCTAAGTTGCTTCAGCCGTGTCTGACTCTGTGCGACCCCATAGACAGCAGCCCACCAGGCTCCTCTATCCCTGGGATTCTCCAGGCAAGAATACTGGAGTGGGTTGCCATCTCCTTCTCCAATGCATGCATGCATGCTAAGTCGTTTCAGTCGTGTCTGATTCTGTGTGACACTATGGATAGCAGCCCATCAGGCTCCTCGTCCACAGGATTCTCTAGGCAAGAATACTGGAGGGGGTTGCCATTTCCTTCTCCAGCAAGACAGTATAGAGAGTCCATGAAAAAATTGGAATAAAACCACCATATGACCAAACTTCACTCTTAGGATTATACCCTGAGGAAACCAAACTTGAAAAAGATATGTAACCCAGTGTTCATTGCAGCACTATTTACAATAGTTAGGTAATGGAAGTAATCTAGATGTCCATCGACAGATGAATGGATAAAGAAGTTGTGGTACATATACACAATGGAATATTACTCAGCCTTAAAAAGGAATGCATCTGAATCACTTCTGATGAGGTGGATGAACCTAGAACCTATTACACAGAGTGAAGTTAGCCAGAAAGCAAAGATAAATATCCTATTCTAATGTATATATAATGGAAAATATGGAATCTAGGAAAATGGTACTAAAGAAGTTATTTACAGGGCAGCACAATTGCACTCATCTCACACGCTTGCAAAGTAATGCTCAAAATTCTCCAAGCCAGGCTTCAAGAGCTCATGAACTAAGAAATTCCAGATGTTCAAGCTGGTTTTAGAAAAGGCAGAGGAATCAGAGATCAAATTGCCAACATCCGCCTCATCATTGAAAAAGCAAGAGAGTTCCGGGAAAACATCTGTTTCTGCTTTATTGACCATGCCAAAGCCTTTGACTGTGTGGATCAAAATAAACTCTGGAAAATTCTGAAGGAGATGGGAATACCAGACCATCTGACCTGCCTCTTGAGAAACTTGTATGTAGGTCAGGAAGCAATAGTTAAAACTGGACATGGAATAACAGATGTTCCAAAAAGGAATACGTCAAGGCTGTATATTGCCATCCTGCTTATTTAACTTATATGCAGAGTACATCACGAGAAATGCTGGGCTTGATGAAGCACAAGCTTGAATCAAGATTGCCAGGAGAAATATCAATAACCTCAGATATGCAGATGACACCACCCTTACAGCAGAAAGTGAAGAAGAAGTAAAGAGCCTCTTGATGAAAGTGAAAGAGGAGAGTGAAAAAGTTGGCCTAAAGCTCAACATTCAGAAAACAAAGATCATGGCATCCAGTCCCATTATTTCATGGCAAATAGATGGAGAAACAGTGGAAACAGTGGCAGACTTTATTTTTGGGAGTTCCAAAATCACTGCAGATGGTGACTGCAGCCATGAAATAAAAAGATACTTACTCCTTGGAAGAAAAGTTATGACCAACCTAGACAGCATATTAAAAAGCAGAGGCATTACTTTGTCAACAAAGGTCCATCTAGTCAAGGTATGGTTTTTCCAGTAGTCGTGTATGTACGTGTGAGTTGGACTATAAAGAATGCTGAACGCCAAAGAATTGATGCTTTTGAACTGTGGTGTTGGAGAAGACTCTTGAGCATCCCTTGGACTGCAAGGAGATCCAACCAGTCCATCCTAAAGAAGATCACTCCTGGATATTCATTGGAAGGACTGATGCTGAAGCTGAAACACCAATACTTTGGGCACCTGATGTGAAGAGCTGACTCATTGGAAAAGACCCTGATGCTGGGGAAATTGAAGGCAGGAGGAGAAGTGGACGACAAACGATGAGATGGTTGGATGGCATCAGTGACTCAATGGACATGAGTTTGAATAAACTCCAGAAGTTGCTGATGGACAGGGAGGCCTGGCATGCTGCGATTCATGGGGTGGCAAAGAGTCGGACACGACTGAGCGACTGAACGGAACTGAATGGAGCAACATGTAGAGAATAGCCTTATGGACATGGAGGGGGGGGAGGGGAGGAGGGTGAGACGCATGCAGAGAGTAACATGGAAAGTTACATCACCATACGCAAAATACATAGCCAAAGGGTGTTTTCTGTATGGCTCAGGAAACTCAAATAAGGGCTTTGTATCAACCTATAGGGGTGGGTTGGGGAGGGAGATGGGAGGGAGGTTCAAAACGGAGGGGATATATGTATACCTACGGATGACTCATGTTGAGATTTGACAGAAAACAATAAAAGTCTGTAAGCAAATATCCTTCAATAAAAAGTAAATAAATAAAAAAATTGATGGTGAGACTCAGAGTTGTATTGACCTCTTTGACAAGAAGAAAAATAAAACAGAAAACACACAATTACTGAGTATTGGATTACATGTGTGTGCTGTTATATGATGCATACAGACAGATATATCTATCTATTTATATATATACACACACACAACTAACTTAAAGGCAAAATAAAAACTACGTAAAGATTAATGAAAGCAGTATAAACCACAATAATGGAACAGCGAGGACACTAGAGAGGTTTCCAGGGAATCGCTGGGCCGGACGAGAAAACCAGATTCCAACACGAGTTCCCTCCCGGCGCCCCGGGGCACCTGCTCCTGGGCGCAGTCCTGAACGTGGTGGGCCCTGAGCGCCCCCTGGTGGTCCTGGGCGCCCATGCAGGGAGGTTTCTGTCTGGGCTCACACAGACTTCCACTCACTGTGTCTCTTGCACAGTAATACACGGCCGTGTCCTCAGGTGTCACGCTGCTCAGTGAGAGGGAGACTTGGCTCTTGGAGGTGTCCCTGGTGATGCTGAGCCGGGATTTCAGGGCTGGATTATAGCATGTGCTTCCACTATAACCTATTGCACCAACCCACTCCAGCGCCTTCCCTGGAGCCTGCGGACCCAGTGTAGAGCATAGCTGCTTAGTGAGAATCCAGAGACAGCGCAGGTGAGGGAGAGGGTCTGTGAGGGCTTCACCAGGCTGGGTCCCGACTCCCGCAGCTGCACCTGGGACAGGACCCCTGTGGACAGGGAGAAGCACGGTGACTCACGGGCTCAGATGCAGCTTCCCCACGTGCCCATGTCTGATCCACAGACACTCACCGCTGGGAGCTGACAGCAGGAAGAGGAAGGTCCACAGTGGGCTCATCTTCGAGCAGATGAGAGTCACCGCTCCCGGAAATCTCTTCAAGCCTGAGGAGGAGCCTGAATTTAAGTGACCTGGCGCTTTGTTTCCACCCTGTGACCTGAGTGGATCTTTGCATGTGGGAGGGGCCTCTGCATAAAAAGAAGAAAGTAGTGAATGGAGGTCCCTGTCTCTGGGGCTCCCCCTGTGAGGGGGTTGCTGACTGTGCCCTCAGAGAACTCAGACCCGTCCTGGGGATCCCTCCCAATATTTGGGGTCTTCTGTCTCCAGAAATGAAAGGATGTGAAGGGCTGGTCAGGAAAAAAGATGTGGCCAAGTATCAGTCACAGATTTTGAATGTTCATCTCTTCACTTGTCAACGATGCACTGCAGACTCAGAGTCTGCATCGCTGCCAGAAACTGTTATTTGTTTTCCTTTTCTGCATTAGCTTATGCTCATAAACAGGATGTTAAAACATTGGAAGTAAAATGCACATGATAATTGCATTTAACTCAAATATACTCAGTACAATTTAAATTTTATCAAACTGCCAAAGGATTTATTATTTCCCTTAAGAGGTGAGGATATTTCTTCACCTGAAACAGTTTAAAATTAAGAGCTGCTCTGGAGGTGAGTTGTTCCTAACAAGTAATGATGCAGTTAATTTTGTGGACAAAATAGTCATTTCTGCTGAGATGCTCATCTTCCCAGCATGGTTGACTAGCCAGGTGGCTTGTCCTGCATTTTTCTGCACACAACTGAGTGTCTGAAGGAATCTGTGAACCTCAGGAACCGCTTCATGAGGGTGGACATTGAGAACTTTAAGGCTACCAATTACTAATGACAGACAGCGCCCGGGAGCTCCTAGGGCTCTGACGTGCTGGGCAGGTGCCCTGCTCACTCTGCACAGACTCCCTCCTCCTCCAAGTGCTTATTTCTTCCTCTCTGTGTCCCTGCCATGAGATGGGAGCTCAGGGACCATAGTCCCCACCACAGTGGTGAGAGGACACGCATGGTTCTTGGAGGTAAACCTTCACAGTGAACGGCGTGCAGTGTGAGGGCAGCATGGTCAGAGGAAAGCCCCTCCTCAGGAAGCAGTTTCCCTTGAAAACCCCACTGAGAGCAGCTTTCCCGAGCCCAGGGTCTCCGTGTCCTGGACTGAGCCTGAGGTCCTCTGAGTCAGCAGTGCTGGAGAGCAGAGCACAGCTCCCCCGTCTCCCTGTGACCCTGAGGCTGTGGCCTTGCGCCTGCATCCCGGCTATGAGCATGGAGACTGGGGATGACGGCTGTCACCGCGTGTCTGGACTTTAGGTGGGCTTTCCGTGGGTGGTGAGTGCTGCCATCAGTGGTGTTATCTCTCCTGGAGCCAGAAAGACCGGTGTGGGTTCCCATCTCTGACTGACACCCTGTCCGTGTGACCCTCGCCTTCTCCTGCCCTGAGACATCACCCCTTCGCGTCTGGGGCAGGTCAGCTCTTCCTCGGCACAGGGATCTCACCTGGACACTGACTGAGGTAGAACCTACTGTCTATGAAAAGCCCCTTCTGGTCTGGCTTTGGCGATAGCAGTTCTGCACCAGCATGTCTTCTGTACCAGATCCTGTTTCCCGACACCTGAATGTGCTCTGGGGAGAGGTCCCAGCTCACTCTGCCTCAGTTTGTGGGACCAAATGTCCCAGATGGTATGCACCATCATCAGGACTCCTGAGGGTGACCCTGGAACTGTGGGCCTCTGGCATCCCGGTCACTGAGCTTCTAGATGTGTCCTCATCCCTCAGCTCAACACCTTCGTCCATCATCAAAGCCAGTGGGGCCTTGTGTGCATCACCTAACAGGCTTTCCTCTCCTCCACTTTCTCTGATCTTGTGATCCCATTGGACCACCTGTAAAATCCAAACATGCTTCTCATCTCAAGGTACTGGAAGACAGCAGATTTCATCCCCAATTCCACTGCCTTGGTCTATTATGGGATTTAGTTTATGGCATCAGAAGTGGGATCCAGAGAATCCCCAGCAACTCCTAAGCCGTGAGCAGTCAGACACTGGTTCCCACTCTGACCTGCTGAGTTCAGTCCTCTCTGGATGAGTGTGGTCTAGTAGTTTTGTGTGGAGTCTTTAGGATTTTCTATCTACAGTGTTCTGTAGATAATGAGAAATGTGCCTCTTGTGATAAGGAATGTATTTGCAATGTAGGAGACCTGGGTTCAATCCCCGAGTGTGAAAGATTCCCCGGAGTAGGAAATGGCAACCCACACCAGTATTCTTGCCTAGAAAGGATAAAGAAGACTGGCAGGCTACAGTCCATGGGGTCACAAAGTGTCAGACATGACTGATCGAGTAACACACACTTATCTCTAAACTCTGTGCCTGCCAAGTATTTCTGAAATGAAAGCTGACAGTGATACCGGCCTTCTTAAAGAATCTGGAAGTAAACAGTTGAACTTACCACCTACAGAAACTAGAAAACAAACACCAAAAGAGCCCAGAGGCAGTGGAAGGAAGGAAATAACAAAAAAGTGCAGAAATTAATAATATTGAGACGAACACACACATACACACAGACAAAACAGTGAAAATGATCAGTGAAATCAACAGATGGCTTCTTGTTGTTGTCATTGTCATTTTTGCTAAGACAAACAAAACCATAAATCTTTAGCCAGTCTTCAGAGGAGGAAAACGAATTAACTGGAATAAAAATACAAAATAGAAAAGACATAAAGTTAATACCACAGAGATACAAAAAAATCATATGCTATTATTACAAACAGCTGTATGCCAACAAATTGGAAATCTAGAAGAAATGGACAAATTCCTGAACTATAAAACCTGCAGGACTGAATCAAGATGAAGGAGACAACATGAAGAGACTGATCATTTATGTCTAAATTGAATTTTATAATAATAATTTAAAAATCTTCCAAGGAGCAACAGTCTAGGAATAGAAAGCTTCTCTAGGGAGTTTTATAAAACATACCTTTGATGAATTTAAAGCGAAACTTCTGAATAACTATTAGCAAATCAAATTCAACAATGAACAGAAAGGATCATGCACCATCCTCAATCGTTTTTCACTCGAGGGTCATGGCAGTGGTTCAAGATCCCAGCAGCAGGAAACAGGCTGGTGAAAGTGCTCAGCTTCAAACATGCACCACCTTCCAGAGCAAGGAATGGAAAGTAAGGGGCCAGATCAATAGGCCCAGAGGCTGGAACAGGAGCCAAAGAAGGTTGTTCCCAGACCTTGAACTCAGTAGGGTTTACGTGGATGGACTTAAACACTGTCGGGGTCAGTGGGGCCTCCCTTGTGGCTCAGCAGTGAAGAATCTGCCTGCAGTGAAGGAAATGCAGGGGACTTGGGTTCAGTCCCTGGGTCGGGAAGATCCCCTGGAGGAGGAAATACCAACCCGCTCCAGTATTCTTGGCCTGGAGAGTCCCATGGACAGAGCAGCTTGGCAGCCTACAGTCCATAGGGCCACAAAGAGTCAGACACAACGGCAGGGACTGAGCTCACGTGCACACTGGGACCAGGGGTCCCTTCTGACTTACATGCATCCTTTTTACGGAGTGAAACTCCTTGTAGCTGACATATGCCTGTCTTAGTGCTGTATTTGAGAACACAATTCCTCACGCATAGCTGAGTTAGAGGACTAGATTCGGGACTTGCGGTTGATGGCATTTAGACCACCTTTACTCTGTAATCTTTATTATAATTGACATTATAATTTAGTGTCAATTCTTAGGTTGACATTTTGGAGGCTTTCTGGGATTTGCTAAGTGTAATGGGCCTGTGGAATGGATGTATTTGCAGGGCTGAAGGTGGACTGTGTTTGTCTGAATCATTCGTTGAGTCTATGAATGTCATCTCACATGGCATAAGGGACTTGGGAAAACGTGACTAATTTAGAGGTCTAGAAATTTTGGATTTTCCTGGATTATCATGTGGCTCCAGTTGAAACCACAACTGTGTTCCTCAGGGGGGCCAAGGACGTCAGACCCTGGGAGAAGTGACCACTGATGGAGGGTGCTTTGCTGGGCTGTGCAGATGAAGGAAGTGGCTGAGAGCCAGGGATGCAGGCAGTGAAGCTCTAGACAGGACACGGCAACGAAGCAGATTGTCCCTGACTTTATCCATTCAGGGGGCATGACAGGAGCTCAGGTGGGGTGGTCTGTAAACAAGCCTTTATTTCCCACACTGCTGGAGGCTGCAAGCCCCAGGTCAGGACACCAGTGAGGCTGCCTTCTGGTGAGGGCCCCCTTCCTGCTTCACACCAGGCACCTTCCTTCTGGGTCC